TATGTTTTTTTTTGTCGCACATAAAGAGGCAACATTTTCTTGAAACTTTAGTTTTCAAGCTTGTTTCATTTTTTGAGGCAAAGAATATCAAGAATTTTGCAACTTCAGCTTTGGCTTGTCCATTCGTAAAGCACAGGTGCACATAAAAGCTCGTTTCACTCTTGCCAATTCGCATGCAATTGTCCCTGCAAAATTATGGGACTCTGCTCGAGTTCGTTCCTAAATTAAAGGGTGACAACACTGCCTCAACTTGTTATGCGTTTTTGCTGTGCAGTTCTATGGCGCTGCTACAGCCAGCAAAAACACATACCGTTGAGAGGTCGTCTGTGTGTGAGTGTATGTTTTCAAAAGCGAGTGAACTCTGTCACCCAAATTCGACTCAGCAACCGGAAAGGCAGCGAGGCTAAAATTTTTGGGACATATTCCCACCCCCTGTGTCACCCTCCCGTTTTAAAATCTGCTCATACGCGTATATATCTTCTGTACGGACCTCGGAAAAAAATGCAGATTCCTTTGGCGGGAGACGATTTCGCGCATCAGGCAAGGTACAAAACTAAAACTTTGCAGGGATATTCTCTGTGCATGTGCGAGCTAAAGATTTCAAATTCAGCTGTCGCGCATGCTTGTTCAGCGCGCACGAGCAAGTCAGAGTTTGCATTTGGTATTGTACTAACTCAAAAACTTGCAGAAAAACAGCATTTGAGATTTTGTGAGCATATTTATCGCCCATATGGAAAATCGTATACCTAAAATAAGTTCCAATTTGCACTTGTACCGCGACTTAAAGCACTTTAAAGATATTTGTGTGAACTGGCTATTTCGCTTGTCGGATAAGTTGCGAGGCTGAGAATCCGTTGGGATATTCTACTTTCAAATGCGGCCTTAATTCTGCTTGGAAGTGAAATTCCCTGCAGATGGATACGAGAAATACCCAACTTTACTGGAAAATGAGAAACGAGTGCGTTTTGCAGCGAAGACCGCCCTCATCCAACTGTATAAATGAACATTCAGTTCAGTTGCATACTTGGATTTTTTGACAAACGACCGCTCTAACAACATTTCCACTTTTTAGTGAACTGAAACTTTGCATTTTTTCAAAAAGCGAGCATATTACCGAAAAAACGACCGGGCTTCATGCAAATGGCTGGTAGTCGTGTACTTGGAGGTCCGTACGACCTTATAATGCAACACCTTCATCCTAACCGACGCCCTTTCTCCTGCATGCCAGAAGAGGCCAGAGAGCAGCCAGTATGAGCCCATGTGTTGGGCTACAGCGCTAGGATCGTTACTGCTATTGGTTTAGCGCAAAAACGCATGAATTCACCGAGAAGCCTGGTGCCTTCCAGCCTGGGTTTTTATTTGCAAACATGCAAGTCGCAAACGTGCCTCTAAGCTCATTTTTAATCCTTTGATTCGCACAAGGACACTGAACATCGAAGAATTTTAGCTTTCTGATTTAATTATGCGTTTTTGCTTGTATGTAGATGCAAAAACGCATATTGTGACGACCCATGGTGTGCGTGTGTGTGTGTGTGTGTGTGTGTGTGTGTGTGTGTGTGTCTGTATCTGCGTCTGTTCAAATATTTCAATTCGGCAACCACGCAAGCTCCGACACCAAAATTTTGCCTGCGGGTTCCCGGCCAAGTGCCACTCCAGGATTGCGGCACTAATTCTCATGCAAGTCTGGGCTCCGCGTACAAGAGGGCGAAAGTTTTGGCGAGAAATTCGCCAACTCGGGGACCAGAAAAGCTAGAAAGCTGAAATTATGGGGTTATGTTCCCCGTCTATCTGGAACTCAAAGATTTCAAACTCAGCCTCCAGGTATGCGTATTTCTTACGTACGGCCTCGTGAGAGTTTTTGACGGGAAAATGGCTAACTCGGAACCTAGGAAAGCAGGAAGTCTAAAATTTTCAGAGAATGTTCCCAGCCCATGCGCAATTCAAATTTATCAAATTCAGCCTCCAAGTATGCCTGGTTGTCACGTACGGCCCTGTGAAACTTTTTGGCAAGAAAATGACTTACTCGGGAACCAGGACTGCTGGGAGGCTGAATTTTAAAGGAATGTTCCCTATACAATTACCACGCAGGCAATTAACTTTTCGGACTTCGAGGAGCAGTATGTCACACATTTCTAGCTACTGGGTTTCCGAACGATCTCACTACAACACGAAATATTGCAAAAACGCATGATCGCACGTACCCATTCGGTGCGCGTCGTCAGTGATTAAATCCCGAAATCACTTCCGCCGAAAATATTTGGTACGTCCGTGCGTGAGAACCAGTAGATGGCTATTTTGCATTTTGGTAAACATCCGAAGTGGTGGGCCAGATTGTTAAAATTTCGGCTTCTTAGCTTTCGTTTATGGGGCTGTGGCAAACTGCGGGCAAGCACATAAACACATATAGACAAACACACATACATGCATAAAACACTAGACAATTTGCGTTTTTGCATATCATCAATTACGCAACAATGCTTAGTAAAATGTAGGTGGGTGTTGTTTGCTCATTATTTTGCTTTACTGTTATTGCCTTGTTTAATTCATAAGCAACATAAACAGAATTTCAGTTCAGTTCAAAATTTCAGGAGGAGCAAAGAGGACTGTTGGCGATTGTAATACTCGTCTCTGGGGTGGTGGGTGGGCTTATCGTCGTTATTACAGTTGTTTACATCTACAGGCTGTGTCTGAAAAGGCGACCACCACTGTCCACGTAAGTTAAGTCATCTTTAAACAGATCATCTCTGGCTATTAAGTATTGTGGGAAAGCAAGGAATCTGCACCTTTTCCTCCTTTTATCCAGCTTTTTCCAGAGAATAAAGACCAATGTTTTTGCAACATGCCAGCTGCAGAAGTACCCCACACCCGGTCTTGTTGCCAAAAAATGTGTTGGGTTGGATATAAGTGCGTTAAAGAGAGCCTTTAGACGGTTAAGCGAGCTTTAACACAGCTAATTTTTGCAGACTAAGACCTCATGAGGCTGTACGATCAATTTTTCCCAATATATTTACTAACGCTTAAAGCTGAAGAACAAAGAAATCATATTTTCCTGGCAGAAAATTAAGGAAATTAAATCCCAATTGCGAAACATTTTTATCACTGTCTGAACCTTTTTACTATACAGATGTACAACGGATGAAATAGTTCATGTGGATCCACTCTAACGAAATTGGCGATCTCAGAAATGAAATGAGGAAAGATTGTTGTCGGCGTTTGAAAATTTTATTTGACCCATGACTTCAATCTAGCCGAAGCAAACTAGAAAGGGAAATTGTAAAGAGTGGTATAGGAAAAAAAACACATTCATTCTAGCATCTCGCGATCTAAAAGCAGGAAGGAAGATTAAGTTACATTCCGTTTTTATGCGTTTTTGCATATGTGCAAATTGCAGAAACGCATATTGTCAAGGGGCTGTATATGTATGCCTGTGTCTGTTTCTGCGTTTTCGTGCTTTTTGCCACTCACTTTCAATTCGAGAACCAGAAAAGCTAGAAGGGTGAAACTTTGGGAGCATGTGTCCATATCATGCGCGACCCACATCATCGTCCCCCTACGTCTGGGTGCCGCGTACGGACGTCATAAAAAAATATACATATTTTTTGGCGGGAAGGCGATCTCGGGAACAGGACAAGGTAAGGAACTGAATTTTTGCAGGAATATTTCCTGTGCATGTGTAAGCTAAAGATTTCAAATTCAGCCCTAGGTATGCGCGGTACTCACGCAAGGGCGTATGAAAGTTTTGGCGGGAAAATTGTCAACTCGGTAACAAGAAAAGCCGGAAAGCTGAAATTTTTGGCGAATGTTCCTTGTCCAAATACAACTTAAATATTTCATATTCAGCATTCAGGCTGCGTAGTTCTCACGTATGGACACTTAAAAGTTTCGGCGGGAAAACTGCTCACTGAACGGCTAGGTTATTTTCAAAGAACGGCAGTTAAAGAGAAATTGTTCATTTACTTTATGCAAAATTTGTGGTGATTTACGCTAGCGAATATAAAAATAGATGCAAAGCAACTGCCATTCATGCAGTTAATCACCGGAGTACTTCAAATCTGGTGCAAAAACGCATGATCGCACCGCTAAGCTAGTGCATTCCAATCTGAGTTCTGTTTTAACTAAATTCAAATGTTAAGTTAATGTTAATTCAGGGGAAAATGGAAGTCCAGTTTTCTCTTTCATGCTTTTTTCAGGACAGCGAAACCAGAAAGGAAAAGGTACCAACTGCAAAGTCAAGCAGTAAGCCAGTGCCGTCCACTTCCACTGCCTTCACATATAGCGGAAGAAAGCTCAGCGCTAGCATCGCAGCCGCCCTACCAAGGCTGCACAGATTCACAGATTGATGTTTCTGAAACATCTCTGCCCCTCAACAAGTTCGTTTTTAGCTCATCCAACTGCTCTCCCGTTTTACACTCGAACTAGTGCGCCGTTGTACCACTGCAGAAACAAGCTCTTTCATATCTATGCCCGCGCCTTAAGCCAATAGTGTTCAAGGAAGCCACCACATTCTCAGTGGAACAGCCTTTGTGAATGACACAGGGAATTATGTGCTATTTCCGTGCAAATTTTTAAGTCGGCAAGGTACCTTAATTTAATTCGTTCAAGGCGAAGTGGTGATGCTCAGAACACGGTTAGAGATCAGTGGTTAACAGGAGAATCGTTGATTTGGTTAATTCTCCGGAAAAAATACAAACGTCAAGACCACCAGCAGGCTAAGCAAAAGCATTGTTCAAAGCTTTGCTAGATGCACAATGGAAGAACCAGGCTGTGAAATGCGGCTGATCAAAGTAGCAAATTCTGATTTCCCCGCTG